GCGTTGGTTTGGTTTGGTTTGTGTTTTTTTCCACAAATGACTTTACACTTTTCGATATGAATTCGGAAATTCATATTAGCATAAAAATTAGTTTGAGGTCGAACTGCCAAGTCTTTAGTGGTACAAGCCCCTCTTGTGGCAACCAAAGAGAAGGAGAAAACACAGCAAAGCAACACAACGATCTTTCTCCAAGGTAGCTGGCCATTTCCAAATGACTTTCCATCAGGCCATATTATTTCCTAGTTGTCCTTTCGCTTCCCATCTTCACCAGAACGTGCACCAGTGCATCCGCAATACAACTTGGCAAATCGCCACCCCAGGGGACGTTTCCCCTTAAATTGAAGAATAATTTTATTTCCTTTTCCGAGTTGGGCAAAATGTGCAAGTTGAATGACCGGGCGAAGGGGATGTAACCAATGGCAGACGCGAGATAAAGTCGGTTGTGAGTCATCTAGAATGACAAATAGTGATATTTTCTATGTAAGGATTTGAAGCGTAACTGACCGAGAACACTCTTTCAAAACGTCTGTGAGCTGTGACACGTTTTGTAAACTCATAATGACGTTGAAGGTTTTGGCGCATTTTGTTTATTATAATTACTCAATTTTAAAAGTCTTACATGTACATTTTAGCAAAAGTGGCATTTTATTTGGCATATTTCAGTTTCACGTATAAACTCTTGACAATAAGCTAAGACAAACCTGCTTTCGTTTGTGATGGAAGTCAGTTAGATTTTTGTACATAGTTTTAGTATTTTTCCGCTATGCGTTGACATGTCCCCAATTCTTGATTTTAAATGCAGCGCGTACATTCATGCCCGTTGGGTTTTTTCAACAGTCAGCGTAATCAGTGATATGCAGAAGTGGAAATCAATGCCAAAAAAGGACAAACCGGGAACTTTTTAACACTGTGATGCATGTGGGGAAATCTGCCAAGAGATTACAGGCTCAATATTTACGGATATTGACAACAGTATCCGAAAAACAACGAAATCGGCCATACACATAAATAGTTTTGGAACCTGGAGGAATTTCTTCAATTTTGGTCACGTGACCGGGGCGACAACCGAAGGTTAAGATTCTCCAAGTAGTCGGAATCTTTTGGTCTGGGAACCTGACCAAACATCAGGCCACACAAGTCTCTTTTTACCCATCTCTCAGGGGTTCGTCATGGCAGCCCTCAACACTCACTTCACATCATGCCATCAAAATCTTCGACAAGGAAGGGCTCTTCTCAAGGCAAGACGATCAAATAAAAACGTATGGTCCCCGTGATTGCTCGACAGCATCCTCTCGCAAGGTTTACGCACATCGCACTTCGAGCCCCTTCATGGGTCAACACACTGCAAATCTCTCCGGCCTAATTTTCCGGTCTTTAAGAGAGCGCACCGCTGGTGAGACGATCGCCGGATCCTCTCTATTTGCCCGAGCTGTGGTGCGATTGAACGTTTGTGATATTGGAATTCCAATGATTTACCTGAGGTGTGAGCTAGAGGATAAATACCGGCAAGTTCAACTTGATAGGCGCCAGTCCAGTGCAATGATCTTCTGTTGTCTTTCTTAATGAATTTTTATCATCCATAGCAAGGGCATGTGTTCTTGCCAGTTGAAATCTTTCAAGTGATTTAGGATCGTGTCGGTGGAGAAAGAAATGTGTCTATTTTTAATGGAAGGGACTGCAGTTATTATTAATCTTACAGAGCTGTTAGTAAGAAATTACGAGGTCCCATTACGTTTTTTTTTTACCTAAATGCATGTGTGATATCGGATAAGCAAATTCTTCGATAGACTTTAGAGGGATTTATTTTGCGCCGAGTTCTCTGTTTATTAGTTTTTAAGAATTAAGTCCGTAAAGTACCTATGTAATGCACCTTTTAAACTTCAGCCCTTTTTGTGACCCAATTGCCTCACTTTTCTCTCATTCTGTGTTTTATTGATTGGCAAAAGCATGAAACAAATACATTAGAAGATAAAAACAAAAATCTTGAAAGAAAATTAATCTAAGTTGAAAATATGGGGAAAATGTCAAAGACGTTTAACACATGGGGAAAACAGATCAGCCATAGAGAGATACAGATAAGCGATCACCAAAAGTGAAATGATTGTATGAATTTATAACAAAACTAGAATTCAAATTTCCATTTCTTACAATGGAGACTGAAGGTTTGATTTTTCATAGTAACCTTATATTCCATGTCATACTAATTTTGTAAGAATAATCTTAACATATATAAAGGAGGGAATTTGAGTTTGAAAACAATTTGTCTTTGAAACACCAAATAGGAATTAAAATTTCCCAACTTGAATAGGGTCTTTGAGGTTCCCATTGATAAAACAGAAGAGGTCTGACAAGATCAGTGAAATACGTTCACATGAATCTAAGTTTATTTACCACAAAAAAAGCACAGGTTGGGGAGTCTTTTCTTCCCATTTTAAAAGGAAAATTATTCAAAGAAATGGCCCCATGAAACATCTTGAAATGAAAAAACTCCGAGTTGGGTTCCAATTGCACATTTAAACTTCATGAGTGGATCACCTCAAAATCTTTATTCTTTAAATTCGTTCTGAAGTGAATTGATCAATTATTATGCTGTAAGTCTGATTAGGAATTTTCTTCGACGTAACAAGGTTATTCTTTGAAACAGTTATCTCATCACCCCCCCCCCATTTGTTTATCACAAAACCAGTTATGAAGGATACAATCCCAACTGTCCCACTTTTATTTATAATTTGTCCTTTCTACAGCCAAGTTGGTGCCTTGGAGTGTTTTAATTGTAATGTGAATCTGAACTTCTTTCTTGAGCAGTGCTGTGGTGTCATTTTATGAAATAACCTCAATGTTATTCGTCCATTCTAGCACCACATAAAATGCCATAATTTAGCAATTTCCTTCTCCTGAATTTTCTTTTCGTCTGTGCTTCATCGATCTCTCAACGTAAGACAGCAAACTTAGATAGCCAATTCCTTTTGTTTGGCACCTTCGAGTAGGAGGGACAGGCCCATATTTCTTTGTTGAACCGCGACTAGTATCAAGATGTGGGCTACGTGGACCTATCGTGTCGAGAGTAACAGACATTGAGATGCCATCTGGTTTGGAATGGGTTGGGTCGGGTCAGTTCAGGTTGTATTTGGTTTGGCTTGCTTTCGGGTTGGGTTGGTTTGGGTTGGATTGGGAGGGTGGGGTGAGGTGGGTTGGGTTGATTGGGTTGGGCTGGGTCGGTTCGGGTTTGGTTTGGTTTGGCTTGCTCTGGTTGGGTAGGGTTGGGAGGGGTAGGTTGGGTTGTGGTGGGGGTAGGGTTGGGTTGGGTTGGTTGGGTTCAGTTTGGCTTGCACCAGTGAATTTCACAGCATCGGAACAAATGCACATATCCTTCTTAACCAATATTATTTTTGGAGGTGGCTGAGACAGAGCTGTAACGAGTCACTGAATTTTGTGAATAAGTCGAGTCATTATGTAAAGAAGTCGAGTCGAGTCACAATGTTTAGTCCAGTCGATTGAAGTATCTAGCTGGAGTCAATTCACGTCATAAAATTAATAATGGAGCACAATACATTGAATAAACATAAGAAAGGGAGCCATTTTGGCGTTTTTAATTCATATCAGGGCTTCTGTGGTCACACTATATTTACTTCCAATGAAAATAAGGGAGTGGCACAATTTAAACCACGTAAAACTGTATACTCAAACGTCTGTAAGTACATTATTCTTAACTTCAGAAATACCCAATCTGAAGGTAACATTTCTGCGAGTCGCGCCCAATGCGGTCTGTTGTACCATGCAGGACGTATAACAGACGGGTGCTAAACATACACATGTATATATCATACATAGGATACCGTATTGGTGACATGACGAAAACATTAACTGACATAGTAAGTCATTGTAATAAAGTTTGCTTTTATTTGGTAGACTCGAGTCTTAGCTTTCACTCGAGTTGAATCTTCTGATGAGGGACTGGAGTAGAGTCATTTGCCCACAGTGAAGTCCTTTACTCGTTGGGACTGGAGTCATGTCGACTCGCTAAAAGTTGTGACTCAAGTCGGACTCAACTAAAGTCATTAACTCGAGTCGAGTCACTGACTGAGTTGTCACAACTCAGGGATGGCGGACACCAATCAAAACGTTTCGTAATTAACTTTCAGGTAGATATTCAAGAGTCCTCAAATATAGTCCCTCCTAATCAATTCGTAACAATATGGCCCTCCGCCATATTTCTAAACACTACTGTCCAGCATGAGGTCTACGGGCAGAGGCATAACCCCCTCTGATAGGTCATCCCCACTTCACCCCCACTCACCGACACAGATGTGTGACACAGCAGGGAAAAGCCGTCGGTACCACTGGAGCATCCTTTATATTCTATCTCGATAGAAAAAAATATGGAGAGACAGCCCAGTTTAGGCGCTAAAAGCTCTCTTCACGAGTGGAAGCGACGAGCGAAAGCGTGGAGCAAAAATTACACATTGTTAAGATGACAAACGAGAGGCAAATGCCAGGTCGTGTATTGTGAACAGAGATGAAAGGCAGATTACTTTAAAATTGCGCAGCCTGCACGCCACTTAAAAATTGAAAAGCTGCATTTGCAACACAATGACTTGATGTTAAAAATAGGGCCATTTTATTCGTATTTCAAGACAAATGCATCTAGCGAGGTTCTGTATTCCCGATGGAATCCGCATTGCACAGTCGCTAGTCATAATAATGATAATGAGCCAGTATTCGAAATGACGATATTGTGTCAAATTACTGGGACTCTGTTTACATGCAACTGTCTATACACAATTTATAGTCTCGTGGGTACCTGGAACAACTCGCTCTTGGCAACACAACGAGCAATAATTTTAATGGGGAGTTTTTGCTCAATGTGGTACTTTTTGGGAAAGATAGCTCGAAGCGAATATAAAGAAAGCGTGTTTGTGAATAAATCCTGAGCATTACGCCCACTTGTACTTGGCATGCATCCTGCCAAATTAAAGTTGTAGTTAGGCCTACTGGCAGCTCCATCCATGCCGCTGTCATTCTATGATAGGCAAGGCTTCCTGTTTGGATCTCTGTAATCTTCTCCTGTAGCTTCGGCACACCGTGCATGTCGGGCGGCAGCCAACACACATAGTTAAATAAGAGACTAGACCAACACAGCACGCGCCTCCCTACTCAGACCAAGAGCCCGTGCTCAGATCCTTTGCCGGTCAGTATAGCGACCGCGTGCAGAGGCAGTTGCTAACCACCTGCCTTTGTTCAAGATGCCCATGACGATGCGATGATGATGCGATGCATCACCGTTGTCTGTACTATGCATGTGTGTGCGAAAGAGGAGTACCCGTGGACATATCGTGCATACGCACAGCGGCTAATTAAAAGGGAAAGTCTGAAAGGTAATAGTTCAGTCTTTCAGCCAGGCACGCGCTCCATCAAGCGCTGTGTGCGAATCGCACAAAACGACGTCTTCACGATAAACCAAGGAGTGTAAGGCAGCAGGTGCTGAACAAGACACTCTCGATATACCATCCAGAGCCTCGGGTCGCCTTGGAACGCGCTGCGACGCTATCACCGAACGAAGATCTACATGCCCGTGGCAAAGCCAGCAAATTAGTACTGGCTGCACTTTTCTGTGTGCGACAGAATTGAAAACCGGTCCTTGCAACTTTCTGGACAAGATACAGCCGTAGTTGATGAGTAGTGAGATTTGGACTTCGTCGCGGAAATGGATGTGGAAACTGCGTTCGTATGGACTATCGATGCTCGTGATAGCTATCAACAGCGGACATTGTCATTTTGTTTTGGGTTCACCTTTTCATGAAAGTCGACGCAGGTGCACTTAGGTTAACTGGCAGAGTTCCTACTTCAGAATATGCAGTAAAGCAATGCATCTGCGTCAATACTTTCCCTACAGCGTTTCTTTGTGAAGTGAGAGAAATACTGGTATGTCATTTTCGAGAGGACATAACACAGAATTTCCGTCATTGTGACAATAACAACACTAGACCTTACAACCAGCCGCGCCAAGCGTCGTCCATGTGTCTAGCTTGCTCGTCGTCATCGCGAGATTCCTGGATAAGTTTCCAGTGACATCCCAATCACATTGGTCGCGGATTTGCAATTCTGCGCCTACCTCACGCGAGAGGGAGGGCAAGTGATTATAACGTGCCCCGGGGAAAGGATCGAGATTTCAAAACAAGTTGGTCCGAGGGAGCACAGGTACACCGCGGTGGTTGGTTGCTCAGTGTTGTACGGTTCAAGAGGAGTCAACCACGTGCTCTGCGTACAGTATAGTCATCTGAAGAAGTTCTTGCGCTCCTTTGGTTCATGGCCTGTACGTTTAACGTGTACAGCTGAGGTTGTCCGATTAGTATTAGCCATTATTAGACACTGACAAACTATGGAACCGACCGTGTATCGCTTTTTCGAACCACATTTAGTATTGTTTGTCTGTGTGGTGGCCGGATGTGCGGTACCAAGTCATTCTTTGGAATCAGACGTCTCCAGCGGACAAGGTAAGTGAGAGAAATAAGCAATGATGCAGGGCTTTACTTTCGGTTGCATTAAGCTGCAAACTAGGATCGACTGAGAATATACCAGGCAAGATATGGGACGGAGGGGTACCCCCCTTACCTGTCCAATCACTATACACACTCTAGACTATTGTTACCTAACACATCCCTCCTATGTAGAAGTCT